TGTTTGACTTTTCGCCCCCTGCTACCCTGGTTCATTAGTTCTTGCTTTTCCCATTCATACATTAAGTTGCAACTGTAGACAAAGTCATTTAATCTGTGGTATTTTGCTTGATAATTACTTCCCTAGAAAACTCCCAGAAGACACAGTCTTTTATAGACAATATGTGTAATTGGGCAAATTAGAAAGAGTCCACACTGCAGGGCAGCTGTGTACACACACATTCCCATGTGGAATCTGGAAAAAAAAGCCCTCCTAACAGCAGAGAAGTGATGCAGAGAGAATCAGGGGTTTAAAATAACTAGTGGTTCAAGGTTTCTTTATTCCTAGTAAATTTGTTGTGAAAGCAGGAATGGAAACAGCAATGTCAGTATAAAGTGACAGCAACAATACGCTGTGTAGCATATTCACTCATTAAAAGTGCAATCATTGAAAAAGTACATCAGCATCAATAGTTCCATTCAAACAAGGCTGATCACCTCTCAGCCTTACTGGCCAGCATTACAGTTTCAGTTGGTCCAAAGTACTTTCTGTACTATTTTGTCCTTCTCTTGGGGACCAAGATGGCCAGAGGAGCTGTAACACACTAAATAAAAGGGTGTGAGCCATCTTTGAGAATGCAATTAGCTTTATGTTGTAACCGTGTGTCATAATGAGAAGACTAGCTGAAATGAGCGGGTCGACACGGGGTTTTAAACCTGGGTCTACCCGCTAACAATCGGCATTAGGCTCCTTTCCCATTTAGCAAAAAGCACAGGTCTGACACCCCTCTGTCCACCCACCGCTCGGTGTCTGCTGACGCCATCCCACTTATTTAGCGTCGATTATGTCACCTATGTGACAAAAATTGGGAAAGTAAACAATGGAGAGCAACGTGGAACGAAGCCAAGGCGTAGACGTGCTGTTTTGTTTCGCTCTTTTGTATGTCCAAATCTCTCTCCCCAGTCCTGTGCTATGTTTATGAATACAAGCAGAGTTGTTTTGACTTGTTATGTCCGGTGTGACTTGGTCTACCCAGGTCTGGTTTGTGACTCTATTCCGATCTGAGCTGTTTCAACGTGATCTTAACCCACGTTGCTTGCCAAGTTGTTTGACGTGGGTGGGCACGGGTCAATAAGCTGTTCATACTCCCACTAAAACCGAATTGTTTGCGGGTTATATGGGTTTTTTGGCCAGTGGGAAAGGGGCAATGTGAGTTGAGCTTTCCAATTAGCCCCACGAGCACATATAGTGATTTGGTTCAAGGTAATTCTAACCAGCACTGATAGATTCAATCTAATTCAGTTTATTTATATAGCGCCAATTCACAACGCATGTCATCTCAAGGCACTTTACAGTTCAACCACATCATACAGCCAAATTGATTTAAAGTTTTCTATCTAAGGAAAACCAGTTGATTGCATCAACTCATTGACTCAAATGCCATCCCTTACACTAAATATGCTTGTAGCGATAATGGAGAGGAAAAACTCCCTTTGAACAGGAAGAAACCTCCAGCAGAACCAGGCTTAG